ATTCCGACCAACGTTTAGACCGTTTCGTCTTTTAAGCCCTGAAAATGGCTTAAAGGAGGATTCCACGATAACGCGGAGGTCAAAAAGGGGGGAGTCAACCTTCTGGGGAGGAAGACGGCACTCTAAGGGTGCGAGACAACGCGGATTTGGCAACGAAAGCCTACAGTGACCTAGCACCATCGAAAGCAGACACTCACTAACTAGTGCTATCTCTGGAGAGCGGAGATCCATTTCAGAGAATTTTTGAGCGAATTTGATAAATGGCGACTCTGTGTTGTGCTGCACGTTGAAATCGTAACCGAATGCACATCTGGCCGTCATATCCAGCGTGAGTCGAGTAATGACACTGAATCAAAGAGCTCAAAACATCTCAAAGGGACGTTAGAAACGGACTTATCCCTGTTTTCAAATGATTTCGAATCTGAAATCTACCCAGTTTCTCCACTCACTCTTTTATAGGCACCGGTCTGCCATCCAGTGCGTATTTCTCAATTATTGCTATACAGATTTTTGAACACTCATTGAAAATTGGCACCATCTGAAATAGTCCAGTGCTGCAATACGGCGAAGCTCTGCTGCTAATAATACACTCAAGTCGAATAGCAAGTCGAACCAGTCTGATTTTTCCAGTGGAGAACGCAGGTGCCACAAGACTACGAACATTGAACCAATGCAGTCCTTTCAATGAGACCAGCGAAGTAGCCAGTAATGATGTCTGATCAGTAGGATCAACGTTCAGGAGATTCTGGAACTAGGTAACATTGCAACCATATCGCTCAAGTCACGCACATTGTGTGTTCGTTCATGTATTCCCGCTTATTGAACTTTAGCTAACAGGGGGTCTGGCAAGCCACGCTTTTTCACGATTTTGCATATTGTAGGGGTCCATGTAGGAACACAAAACATTTTATTTTCGCTGAACGGTTTTAGCAGTACCAAAAAAGAAGCATAAGGTACTGTTAAGGATCCCCGTGGCGACTAAATTTTGCATTTGGGTTGGCGCCTACGGTTTGGTGCCAAATCGCGCTAAATATCAAAATCAGATGTCAAATTCATCGTCAGGACCATTTTGAAGCCAACAAGTGGCCGCCAACCTTGATTGCAAAATTTAGTCGCCGCGGGGGATCGAACCATCAAGGGTATCATTCACCACTTTTTTGGTACTACTAAAACCGTTCAGCGAAAACGAAACATGGTTTTGTGGTCCATACATGCGTCCCTACAATATGCAAAACCATTTCCAAAAAGCGCGGCTTGCCCTGAAAGACCCCCTTGCAAGGGAGCTAAGAACAGTTCATGGTAATTCCAGACTAACTCACAGTTCGGTCCGTGAAGCAGTCGAAGTTTCTCACGAGGACTTGTCTAAGAATATCCAGATCAATCGAAACCAACTCAGGTGAAGACATCAGGAACATACTGCAAGTACATATTTTGTGCAAAAATGAATAAATCCTACTATATACAATCAGCCAAGTGTGTCTTTTGGTCTGTATGTTTTTGACCGGAAATTCATAGCCACGGCACCAGCGGTCGTCAGGAGTTGATTTCAAGATATAATATAGGGGTGGGACACCCACGGAACATATTTGGTGGGGTAGAGAAAGTGATAACAACTGATAAGGGCTGATAAAAGCGCGCTAGAACGCAAGTGTAACGAAATTCATAGCGTGCGGATCCGCCATCAGGAGCTGATTTCAAGATATGATGTAGAAGCAGGAGAAGAGCACATGGGTAGAAAACATGACAACAATTGGTAAGGGCTGGTGAGGGGCGCTAGAACTCCGCAAAATTTATAACGCGTGGTTCAACAGCAATGAGGCGGTGCTTCTAATAGGTAAGACGAAGATAGCGGAACAGGACATTTTGATGAATGAATGTATGAAATGAAAGTGAATTACTATGTTGCTTTATCGCTAGCACTCTACTAACCTTTCATTATTAGCAACAGTCAGATCCATTGAAAACACGCATGACGTTCAGTAGTGCCCAGCTATGCTCCTGTTTTACTGGAGCTTCTCTGACGTGCGCGCGGTAGCGAGCGGAGCCAAACCGGTGAATAAATAAAGATTTGTTAATAATAAACTGAGAATATGTGACGACTGTCGCTGAAACTCCACAGATTGTGTGTACTTTCAAACTAATCAAACCACTGGTTAATAGTTCCCGAAAGTAGCCAACATCGATGATGTAGCAAA